AAAATATAACTTTCTTTACACTTTGGGCCTATGTTTTGATTAAAGGTCTGGTTTAGAACTGAATTTCAATATAACTTGTTTATGTATAAGACCAGAAATTTCATTATGCAAAGTAATTAAAGGATTTATCCAGACTGCTAAGTAGATACATAAAACAAAACCAAAAAGTGGATTGAGTCGATTCTGACTCATAGTGAACCTATAGAACAGAGTAGAATTGCCCCTGTGAGTTTCTGAAACCATAACTCTTTATGGAAATATAAAGTCTCATCTCTCTCTCTCATAGCAGCTGGTGGTTTCAAATTGCTGACGCTGTGCTTAGCAGTCCAATACATAACCTATATGCCACCAATGTTCCTAAATGGACACATAGAGCTGAGAGAAAGAGAGAGGGGGAAAATGGAGGAGGAGGGAGAGGTGGAGGGGCAAGGAGATGAGAGTGAAAATGAAAATCCATAGAAATAGAAGGTGCTTTGCAAGCACATAGCAGGGACATCTAATCTAGTGTCCGGTGGTCAAAAGTAAGGTCTAAAATGAAGCCTGAAGGCTACTGAAGCTACAGGAAGTGATGCAATTATTTTCAAAGATGAGAACTAAAGAAACACCTGGCACACTTGATTTGAGATTTCAGCAGAGATAGGATAGCGTACATTGTAAGAGGTAGTATTGGAGAGCAGAGTAGAAGAAGAAGAAGAAGAAGAAGAAGAAGAAGAAGAAGAAGAAGAAGAAGAAGAAGAAGAAGAAGAAGGAGAAGAAATATTGGGAGAGAGAAGGCTGTGGGCAAATAATGGAAGATTGGGACTATGTATGTCAAGAATATGGACTTCATTATTATTTTAATGGTGTGTTTTAATCAGTGGAACTAAGAAGAAGAGATTGAAATGTCAGAAAAAGAATTCTGGCTGAAGTGTTGATTCTATTCACTGTCATTGCATTGACTCCAATTCATAGTGACTCTATTAGTCCTGCACTGGCAATATAATACTCCAGAATCATCTAGAACTCTAGATGTTCAGTGGTGAAATGAATGGCCACATTACCTCAGCACATGGTATGAATCATTCTGTTACATAATAAGAGATATGGAATTCTCATTTTGGTTTGAAAACTGTAAGGCTAAATCCTATATTTAATTTCAAGAACTATTCAATGTACAAGTTCTCTGGTGGAATCATTTCCCTTGTCATCATTATTTACTGCTATAATTTTAAAAATAAACACAGTCGTTTCCACTATGTACTCAATGATAAGCTGTTCAATTACTTTTGAGAAACATATAGCCTTAAATAGTTAATGCACATTTTCAATGTGATATTAGTATATTCACAATCATCAATGAATTTCATTATTACAGATATAGGATGACAAATAAAACTATTATAACCATGATTACATGCATGGGCTTATTCCAAACAAGATGTGTTAAAATATGTCTCTCTGCTCAGTGGCTGGCTGCAGACAAGTTCTCCCAGTAATATACATGCCTTAGACTCTTAAAACATTTTTTAAATAATACTTTTATTGGAGGCTCTTACGTCTCTTATCACAATCCACACATTCCTCCAGGGTGTCAAGCACATTTGCACACATGCCCATCATCATTTTCAAAGCCTGCTCTTCCCACTTGAGCCCCTGGTATCCGCTCTCCATTTCTTCCCCTTCTCTCTCCTGCCCGCCCACACACCCTCCCTCACAAACTCTTGACAAGTTATTATTTTTTCCATATCTTACATTGTCCTTCGTCACCCCTCACTCACTTTTCCTCTATTTGTCCCCCTGGGAGGGGGTTCTAGATCGATCCTTGGGAAAGGTTCCTCCCTCCTCTCCCCACCCTCCCCTAATCCTGATATCTCTAACTCTGCTTGTTGGCCCTGAGGGGTTTATCTAGCCTGGAGTCCCTGTGCTGTGGGCTCTTATCTGTAGCAGTGTGCATCTTCAGGTTGTCTTTAAAAGTAAAAAAAGATCCTAGCTAAGCAGAATTAAATTCAAGGGAGAGTCATCAGTTCAGAAGGTTATGATGACTATTTTTTTTTTAGGATTCTAAAGGTGTAATCTTGATAGATTTCCTCACAGGACAAAGGATAATGATAGAGGCTTATGGAGAAGTTGGTTTTGTTTTTTAGGTTTGAACAGTAAGAGTGAGTTTATTGAGGGGATACTTCGGTATAGAACTCTGAAACAAATTCAAACTCACTGCCATTGAATCAATGCTGAGTTATAGTCCCCTCTTATGGGGTTTCTTTCCATTTTTAAAAAAAATCATTTTATTGGGGACTCGTATAACTCTTATTACAATACATACATACATCAATTGTGTCAAGCACTTTTGTTCATTTGTTGCCCTCATCATTCTCAAAACATTTGTTTTCTACTTGAACCCCTGGTATTCACTCATTTTTCTCCTCCCTCCCCACTCCTCCCTCCCTCATGAACCCTTGATAACTTATAAATTATTAATATTTTGTCATATCTTACACTGTCTGACATATCCCTTCACGCACTTTTCTGTTGTCCATCCCCCAAGGAGGAGGTCATATGTAGATCCTTGTAATTGGTTCCCCCTTTCTAACCCACCTTCCCTCCACCCTCCTGGTATCACTACTCTCACCACTGGTCCTGAGGGGTTCATCTGTCCTGGATTCCCTGTGTTTCCAGTTCCTATCTGTACCAGTGTACATCCTCTGGTCTAGCCATATTTGTAAGGTAGAATTGGGATCATGATAGTGGGTGGTGAGGAAGCATTTAAGAACTAGAGGAAAGTTGTATGTTTCATCATTGCTACACTGCACACTGACTGGCTCATCTCCTCCCTGTGACCCTTCTGGAAGGGGATGTCCAGTTGCCTACAGATAGGCTTTGGGTCTTAACTCTGCACTCCCCCTCATTCACAAAGATAAGATTTTTTTGTTCTTTGATGCCTGATACCTAATCCCTTTGACACCTCGTGGTCACACAGGCTGGTGTGCTTCTTCCATGTGGGCTTTGTTGCTTGAGCTAGATGGCTGTTTGTTTACCTTCAAACCTTTAAAACCCCACACACTATATCTTTTGATAGCTGGGCACCATCAGCTTTCTTCACCACATTTGCTTACACACACATTTGTCTTCAGCAATCATATCGGGAAGGTGGGCACCCACTGATATGATTTTTTGTTCTTTGATGCCTGATACCTGGTCCCTTCTACATTTCATGGTCACACAGGCTGGTGTCCTTCCTCCATGTGGGTTCTGTTGCTTCTGAGCTTGATTGCTGCTTGTTTTCCTGAACTGAAAATGGCATTGATGAGAAAACGGCCAGGAAATTTTCATCAAGGAATTTTTTTTCCATCATGGCCATGCACCTGCTCATTCTTTGGGGATGACAAGAAATGTCCTATGAAAATCTCACTGGGAAACGTACCCCATCTACCGTAAAGCCCTTTCAGATATTGTCTCTCTAGACTTCCTTTCGTTTGCCAAATTCAAAGAATATTTAAAAGGAACCCAATTCAAGTTCCTTGAAGACTCCAAAACTGTCACTTTGATGTGGTGTAAATCAAAGAACACAATGTTTTTCAGGCAAGGGTTGGAAAAATTGAAATACCACCTTCAGAAATGTATAGACCTGCATGGAAATAAGTCAAGAAACAATGGCTTAGCTTCAAATTTTGATACATTTATTAAGTTTCTATATATTTGTAGTAATATTTTTTACTTACCATCATATATGTGAATGCCTCGATTCTCTATGTATATATGTGTGTGTATGTATTTATATATATGCTAAAAATAAGTTTTGGTGTGACTAAACAAAGTTTTGGGGTGCAGTTCAGTAACAAAAATATAAGTTGTTACTTAGGAATGTTCACTGACCTGAGTTATTGCTGGTAATCCTTCATATCTTTTCAATGTAAAATTCTGTGATACAAGGTCAGCGGCTTTTTCCACTGTAGTTTCTCCTGGGTCAATTTTTGGTGGTAGCATTTTGTCCCAAGGAACATTTTCATAAGCTCTATGAAATATCAAAGAATAATGTTTTATTTAAATGATATATTTAATTGACATGGTTCATAGTAATATCATATAATATGGTAAACATTTTACTTGGAAGCAGAATCAAGTTAATCGAAACAGCAATCAAATAATCGAACAATTACAAATCAATAATAATTTATAATTATCAAGGGTTCATGAGGGGTGGGGGAGAGAGGAGCGATGGGAAAAATGAGGAGGTGATACCAGGGGCACAAGTAGAAAGCAAATGTTTTGAGAATGATGATGGCAATGGATGTACAAATGTGTTTGACAAAATGGATGTATGTATGGCTTGTGATAAAAGTTGTACAAGCCCCCAATAAAATTATTTTTTTAAAGTTAGAAACGTCTGATCTTTAAAAGATATTATTAAGAAAAAGAAAACAGAAAATCTTAATAATAGATAAATATGATAGAGAAAAGTGCTAAAGAGTAAAGATGTCACTGTGAGGACTAATGTGTGCCCAACCCAAGTCTCAGTGTTTTTCATCATCTGGAATGCCTGTGAAAGCTGGGCAATGCGTAAGGAAGACTGAAGGAGAATGGGTACTGACATTTGAAATACGGTGCGGGCAAAGAAGATTTAAAGAACCATGGACTTCCAGAACAAACAAATCTGCCTTGGAAGAAGTATAGCTAGAATTCTTCTTAGAAGGCAAGCAGGTGAGACTTTGTCTCAAGTACTTTGGATATGTTATCAGTAAAGGCAAGTACCTGGAGAAATATATTCTGGTTGGTAAAATAAAGGGTCAACAAAAAGAGGAAGGTCATCGATGAGAAGGACTGACACAATGGTTGAAATAAGGGGCTGACTCAAAATGACTATGAAGGTGGCATAGGACCAAACAGAGATTATTTCACTCTGTTGTACGTAGGGTCACTATGAACTGGAACTGAATTGATAGCACCAAACACAACAACATGGCAGGTAGAATTCTACAAAGTCCACATGATACCCACATTCTAATGGACACACTAATATAATTCAGTCTATTTGAGTATGGATGGATGGGAGCTGTGAATATATTCAATATCTCTCCCATGATTATGCTACATGTGGGTGTAGGGGTCAGCAGTCATTATATGAGAATTTTCACATATAATGAAGATTCCTAGCCAGTTAACTTGAGTTTAGCAGTAGGGAGATAATCTTTAGGGCATCTTATCTAAATAGAAAAAAAACAAGAAGAGACAGAAAAGAGCAGGTGTTTTGCTTTTCTTAAAGAAATACAACTTATGAGTTCTACAGTTGCAATTAACAGAGTGAACTTGGAAGATGAGAACCAAGCCTGGACTGATTCTTTGATTTCAGACCATGAGCAGAGAATCTACTGTTAGACGGCACAGTGTGACAATAAGTGACTATTGTTTTAAGCTATTAAATTTGTGGTGACTTAACTAATATATAAGCTGATATACATTAAGGTTTACAAATATTTCACTTGACTGTCACAGCAAGCAAGTGTGATTGGTATTCTAATAAAGAAATTACAGTTTAGAAAACTGGATTCATTTGCTAAGTGTCACACAGCTATTGACAAATTATTGCCTTTGATGGGTCAGCAATTTCCCCACTGTTCTATACCAACACAATCCAGTGATTAAATAACGAACCAACTATTCAATTCCTATATATGAAAATTTTAATCCAAAGGCACTTCTCTCTATTTGGAGTTCTTTTTGACAGATATGCATGTCAGACACAGTGTGATATATTTAAATTTTATTCTGAATAAATGCATAAAACAACCAACTCTCAATACAGATCCTGCCCTGGACAAATAGATCAGTTAATGGTCAAATTTCCCACCTTATGGATACCAAAAGTTATCCCCTGCTCTTGCCCTGTTAAAATTTGGTGCTAAGGCAAATCTATAAATTTTTTTGGAAACTATAATTTCCAAAAAAATCCTATTTCTACCTAAAGTCAATGTATATAGAACGCTCAGCTACTCACATTTTTCAACAAATATTTATTCTATTTGAAGCACTCAGAGAACTGGGTTGATATAAGCGGGCAGTATAAAATTGGATAACTAAAATTGGGGGAGATAAAGGCATGAAGCAGTTGGCTTACAAACTTTCAAAGGTAGGGGAAAAAACTCACAGGATTATAGGGTTAAGTTATGGGTGTTCATTTCAATTGTGAAGCTGAGAATTATATACAGGTGCCAGGATGGCAAGGGGTGGATTGAGTTAGTTAATTGTGCCAGCCTGGCCGATAATCACATGTGGGGCTGGTTGAAAGGCGGAGGGATAAATGGGTGGTGAAGCCTCGCCTTTCGAGTTCTCGGGTCTCTTGTTTTGTGATGGTTGTATCGGGTGCAGCTGCCTTAGCAGTTCCCTGCTTCAGCTTGCAAGATGGACTTCTACAAGACATCCCCAAGGAGAAGCCGCATGGACCTATCCCGATGCAGACCTGGGTGCTGGAGCAGCCGTGTGGAGACCCCTGCCAGTGCTGAGATGCTTACACGTTCACTGACTCAGCTTTCCTCCTGCAGTCGGCATTATTGCCTCTGTTTTGTGAGGTGAAGGACTTTGTGGACTGGTGTTGGGTAAATGGGTTAATGTTGGACTTGTGGGCTTGGGCAGCATTGGGTTGGGATGTTTTCGTGATGCACCTTTTCTTTACATAAAACTCTCTCTTATACATGAGTCGCCGTGGATTTGTTTCTCCAAAGTACCTAGACTAATACATTATGGTTGCTAAAGATGAAAAATGGATAGGGATTAATATGTAAATATTTACCGCAAAAGAGTGTTATGAGGATTAAAAAAAATATGTCTTGGTAAAGATATATATCATAGAGATTGGTCTGTGTGCATTTTGAATTCACACATTCATTATTCTCTGATACACATAATATTTCCATGATTCAAAATTAACTAGGCAGAAACAGGTTAAAGGAATACTAAATTTAATGAAATATTTTTAATTGTAGCAAAGTCTTAAATAACAGTTTTCTAATATATACATTGACCAGCATTGCACTAAGGAATACACCAGAGAGTTAGATCAAAGCTTAAAGACACTTCAACTTTTGAGACTCTGAATTACTTTATGGAATTTCCCATGGCATTGTACAAGTTTTTCTCTAAAAATCCTTATCTTTGTTTTTAAGACTATTAAGTATATATCATGCTCTATTTTGAATAAATATTTTCACTTTAACCAATGTATTAACCATTTCCAATAAAACCACAGAATAATTTTTTTCTGATAGATATCAAAGTAAGATTACAATATTCTGTCCTTATAATAAATTGAACTCAAAACTAGGGAGGCATTTAGAGGTTTTATAGTTTCCAGACCTAAAAACTGCAGATCAGAAAGCTTGGAGGCTCTTAAGTTCTATGACATATTTGTATTCTTTTCATTATAATTCCCTGATACCTTAGTGAGGGCACTTTTGAAATATTACATAGACCAAAAAAACAGAAAGACATGTAACACAATTTCAAGAGAGTGACCCCACTGACATAACACCTATGAGATAAACCCTAGTATGAACAAACAAAAAACAAAACAAAATTACAGAAAATGTTGAATATCAGGTCTAGCTCTAGCATGCATCAAAGGGGGGATCAACTAACAAAGTTTTAACTTTTCAAGTCAGGCTTATCCCTTTGATCTTCTTTATTTATCTCTCCAATGCACTCGGTTTAGTAACCACTTTCCTCCCATCCCTCCATTATGGAGAGAGGGAGATCACTGGAGCCATATTTCCTTTGTAGTTACCACAAATGCATCTTCGGTTCCCACTGTCATTCATGGCCTTCTGCAAACACGATTCTCACAGTTTAGGCTCTGATACTAATTCCGCCTTTGACTTTGGATTACTGTATATGATTTACAATCGTTCAGTGATGTATGATGGTGTACTTCTTCTATGTGGACTTAGTTGACATCTTTTGGATGGCTGCTTGTTTGGAGACAAGCCTTAAAGACCTGATTCTTTTTTATCTGATAGCCAGGCCCCATCTAATTTCTTCACCACATTTTGCTATAGCACCCATATTTTCTGTGTTCCCTTTCTGAAGGTCATAATGTAAGAACTAATTGTTCATAACTTGAAGCTAGAATTTAGTATGAGCCCAAAGCCCATTTCTGGATCTATGCTTTTTATTTGTTAGTTTTTCTGCCTTTCGATCCCTTTCCAAACTTCCTTGTTAATTTATGATAGTCTTTTTTGAGTTTTTTTAAGTAGCTTTCAGTCACAAAAGTATTGGTTATATACATGTGAATAATTCTGTTACTGTTCTAGGGAGTTAGCTTACATTGGCCCAATATCCCTCTGTCAAGAGGGCTTAAACATTTTACCAGGGGACAATCAAAGACAATATTAACAGAAGACCATTAAGCCCCAGGGCAATGGTCCATAAGACTCTCTACCATGAATTCTTGACTTCCCTTTATTTCTATTCAAGTAGCTCAGTGTTGATCTGAACTTCAAAATGTATCCAGAGTCAATAACTTGTACCACTTCCTCTACCACAGCCGTCCTGCAAAACAGCTATTATCTATATCCAGGATTGTTAGAAAATAACCTCCTAATTAGTGTCCCAGCTTCTGCCCCAAATCAATCTGTTCTCTCAACAAAGTAGCAATAATTATTAAATTGATATATAAGTCTGGTCTTATCACATCCCTGCTAAATCTTTACTTCACTGAGAATAAAAAACAAACAAACAAAACCCATTGCTACTGAGTTGATTTTGATTGAATCAACCCTATAGGACAGGGTAGAAGTTCTCTATAGGATTTCCTAGGTTGTAAATTGTTACTATAGTAAGCTGCCAAATATTTCCTGTGGAGTGGACGGAAGTGTTCAAAAACTGCTTGCCTCATTTTCAACTGAGAACTTTAACCACTGTGAATAAAAGCCCTGGAATTTAAATGATTTTGTTCTAAATCTCCTCTGTTTGGAATATAGTTATCCCAGATACCAGCTGGGCAATTCCCTCACTTACCCAAAG